TCGCCTATTTTTATTTTGAAGATCTTATGGGTACCGTTTGGCAGTCATCTTGTTCATTCTAGATATATTGTCATAATTTCTACCTAGTCGCATACCTTATAAAAATATTACTCTCATCTCTTCAAACATTAACTTTTTACATTATTACTAAATAGTTGCATACATTAGCGATTATTCATTTAATACGACTTCATAATTATTGACTTTGAAAGAATATACACCCATTCCTGTAAGATTTTTAGATAATTACTTATAATTGGAATTCCTTCATGATCATAAATCCTTTGATAATGAAACGTTTTAATAAAGATATTAATTACGTCGATAAATTTAGCCACGTATTTCATGAGCTGAATAATCAATGAAAGTATCTTAGGATAAGAATTTAGCATCCCAAATAATTTTATCACTCTAATTTCTCATCTAATAATTTCCTCGTTTAATCTAGCAGGCTGAATTTCCATTACGAAGTTTATTTTTCAACTAATGCGTATGGTAAAGGGAAATAATTAATCCTTTAAGTATAAAACTTTCAGAGTAAATTAATTAAAAAGATAATGCGGTTTCTTATTAAAAAATTAGCAGTATTGTATACCTACTGTTGGTTTCATATTTAGCTGGCTTTTCGGCCCAGTGGTAGCCGGAATACCTGGCATTCAAGAACGTCAGAGTTTAATTTCCGCTGCTAGGTTGGGTTATTTTGTAAAATGAACAGATTTGTGGTAATTGTTACAAAAAGTCTAGCATATACTCCTAAATTGTTTATTTGTAATTTATGTACTCCCTATTTCTTTGCGATACTTAAATGCAAGGAAGTTATTGAACTCCACCTAATAATTATTATACTGTAACATTTATCTCAAGGGAAGTGTTTAGGCATTTCATTCCCATTTCATTGCATTCCCACACTCCCTGGGTAGTGCTAAGTGATTAACGTCGGTGCAGTCCTTGCTTATGGCATAAAAGACAACTGTCTTAAGTGTGGCCAGCTACATTAGCAAGAAAAATATATGCGACCCGCAGAGGTATTACTCAAAATGGCTTGCAAAATCATTTGGTTTTGCCACCCAAGATTTAGCTCATGTAAGAACAAAAATACATGTTAGAATAACTTCATTTATTGCATTTTTTTTTGTATCAAATTTTAGTTGTATCTATGACCAACTCGTTTCGATATTTTCAGTTATCATTAATCAATACTAATAAACACATCCAATTATGAGAATCTTAAAAATTATAGAGTAAAGAACATTAATCTATATTGATTTGGCGATATTACAAAATCAAAACGATATTAGAAGATCTTTGATACACTTGGGAAACTTCTTCGGAATTTACACTTAAGCTTAAATCGGTTCGAATCAAACGTGTGTTGTGTTCTGCATCAGTTGGCATTGAGCTATTCATGAGCCATCTGATCCCGTGGAATGAATCCCGCTGATGTATAAAGCCCTTGGTCACGAGATGCACTCAGTAAATTTGCATGACTTCAAAGAAACCGCGGAGGCGTATATTACCAGCCAGAGATGCTTTTACGACTTGATGCGCATTTTGCATATTAAAATCTCTTCAAGACGACAACTCAATGGTATCCAAATATAGATTTGCAATAAACAGCTGAGGAAACTTTATAATAACTATTCTTGGGTTTTCTCTCTAGAAAGTTAATCGGATATTCCAAAAAAAGATTGCATTTGTTTTGAATATATTAAAATAAATCTTATTTAATTTTGAAAATTCGACACTTCAAGTTTTCGAAAATTCAAGTTTTTAAAGCTTGTAAGAGATGATTTCAAAGTTCATTTTTATCTTGTCTACATTAGAGGCAGGTAGGATAAGGTAGTATAGCATTTTTTCCCACGTGAAGAGTTGTAGTGTTTCTCTCACAGGAGAGAGGAATGTATATTCTTTAACGAGTACATAATGACAGCAGACAAGCAGTATTATGGATAGTTATATTACATGCAATTATTGTTTTGTGCTAATGAGAACAACCTGTCACTCAAACCTAATATCAAATATCCGGTATCATCGATAATGAGACTCATAAAATTAGCGAATATGTATGCAATCTTCACAAGTCGAAACAATTACAGATGGAATATGAACTATACTGCGATTTGTTCAATCGTGATTGTCCACCGAGCTGAGAAATGTCTACTCCAATGAGAAGTGAGGGAAGCTGATCTCCCTCCATCTTGACTGATTGCTTAAAACGGGTTTTTTGATGAAGAAAGGAGAGAGTTTTGCGACGATTCGACCAGAAGTGTTGTATTTCTTTTTTTTTTTCTCGCCGAAGTTTCCTCTTGTTTACAAAGCAAACCTCTTGTGGTTTCGTGTCGTGTGATAATTAAGGTCTGCTGTAGACCAGACAATTAGATTCGACGTAGACTCGAGAACTCTGAAAAATATCCGACCTTGGAGGGAACTGTACTTGCGATTTAATCGTGCACGAGTGAGCAGGTTTCTTATTTTTCTCATATCTTTGTATAATATTCCAAAGTTCCTTATTTATTTGTATTTATATATAAAGTACTTGTAAATAAAGATTAAAGTGTTCCCATGAACCTAAAGTGGCCCTCTTTTTGACACCATTTTAGGTCTAATATAGGCCAGCAGTTACAATACCTACTCCACCAAACTAGAGAAAAGAATGTTGAACTACTGAAGTAATGTTATTCTAGCGGCTTCATGAGATAATGAAAGTGTTTGTGGATTAAGAAAGGTTGATTTTAAATTCATTGAGTAGCATTAATTGTCCTTTAAATAAATATTAGTTTTAGTGTCAAATTATGAAAAAGTATTTACACACAATCACACATTAATTTCAGCATAAAGTAATAGAAACAAATATGTGTCTTGCAAGCCATTTAATCGATGAAATCGTGTGAGAATTCCCATCTGAAGTTTTCTAATTTATCCTATTTGTTGCCTATCCTATTGATTATCTTATATCCTTAAACAGAAATTATCCTGTCTCACTTCTTGACGTGGAAAAAACATGTCAATCCAATCAAATTTGCTTTAGGGCTGCTTTCTTATCTAGTGGATTTCTCTAAGAATTTTGGATCGTGAGACTCTTCATTTAGGTAAAATAAAATGCAATTAAGTATCTTGGGTAAAATACAAATATATATATATGTATATATATATTTAATTTTAAAGGTTAACAAATCAACATCTCATTGAACATAGAATCTTAAATTGATAATGAATGATTGGGAGAATTTGAAATACTGATTTTGAATATTTAAAGAATTTGTAAGACGAAAATATTTACATAATTAAAGCTTGTTAGAAAAAAAAAAGAAAAATTGTATAAAGTATCGTCAAAATTGTATAAAATATTGCAATTGTTTGAAAGATATTGTTACAAGTATTATTTTGGGGGCCAGATGGCCGAGTGGCTAGCGCTCTGGCGCTCGATACCCCCGGTTTCGAGTTCGAGTCCCGTCAGCATCATGGATGTTTGTAGTGGTTCGAAATCGACTTTAAACCATGGGCAAAAAAACCGCTTGTAAACAAAGAAATACTTGTAAGTGAAAAACTAAACAAAATTTAACTTGTTGACAACAAACCTTAGGAAATATAATTTGTATATACTATATTTTTAATATAATTATTATAAATTATTTTTAATCAACAATGTCCTTAATAAATTTATGATTCTATATTACTTACTATCTAACCTAATTAATTAGTATTTGGTACATATATTACTTAATAGTGACTTTTGTTGGATTATCACAAATCATTGCTTTACTGATTAATCTCTCTTGTGTTTTGCTTACACACATATAACGTATATGGACGTAGATATCATTGCGAAGCAAAAATTTCCATAATGTGATTTGTAATTTAACAGAACTTTTCGCATAAAGAATTAAAAGTTATGTTGCAAATAATAGATAAATTGGCTAGTCCAAACTTTATAAAATAATTCATCTATAGAACGACAGCCCAGAGTGGACCGAGGAATTCCTCTGGGTGACAATTGTCCTCAGATTGTTAACCTTTAGCACTACTTCTACATCACACCACCGTGCATAGAGCTGATTTGCCCCTTTACAGTTTGGAAATGATGTGAATGAGAAGTCTGACTGGCTTCCGTGACGATCTACGGTCGTATGAGACCGGCACCTATGGCTTAAAGTGGATTCTCAACCACTACAAACATCCATGGCACCACCGGGACTCGAACCCAAAACCTGTGGTACCGAGCTCCAGAGAGCTAGCCACTCGGCCATCAGGCCCTCAACCTTTAGTACAACAAAATATTTTTCAACTGCGCCTATCCACCGCGACTTGGGACGTCCTCTTTCTCTTTGTCCTTATGGCTTTGTCAAAACGAACCTTTTTAGTGGGTGTAAGTCATTCATTCTAAATATATGAGCAGCCCACTTGATCTATTGATCTTGGTTATATTTCGTATAATAATTATTTTATAATTATTTATTTAAGAAAACGAATTGGTTATACATTATTTCACAATCTTAAAAAAATGGTTATTTATTTGAAATGTAATCATTTATGCTAAAAATAATGTGTAAATAACCAAAACTTTACCAAATGATTTTCATTCATCTTGATATAAAACGCTATTTTAGAAATAATGAGTAAAAAAGTTATTTCACTAATGTATAGAACATTAACAAAATGCTATCTTGAAAATAATACATAAATATAGGTTTTTGTTAACAGAAATTTATGTTGTTTTGTTGTTGTTTCTTATCCCACTTGGCTGGCCAAGCCCACGAGCACATACGTGCTCATGATTGAAGGGGAAGGAAGCAGCTTCTGTTGCGAGGGAGCACCCGTAGGTAGAAGCCTGACTTTTGCTCCGTGACGCTCTTACAGTCATAGGAGACCGGGACCTACGGCTTAAAGTGGATTCCGAACCACTACAAACATCCATGGCACCGCCGGTATTCGAACCCGAAACCTGCGGCACCGAGCGCCAGAGCGCTAGACACACGGCCATTCAGGTCCCAAATTTGCCAACGCCACGCGGTGTTCCCAGGTGGTCACCCACCCAAGTACTGACCGCGCCCAATGATGCTTGACTTCGGTGATCTAACGAGAACCGGTATATTCAGCATGGTACGGCCGTTGGCTACAGAAATTTATAAATAAGATAAGAATCTTTTAGGATAAAATACAGTCTACCTTCGTAGTAGGTGTAGTACAATACAGTAGTCAAAATTACCTTTGTAGGCAACCTTTTTTGTACCTACCGCCCACTTTTGTATCTCTGTTAGTAGCAAAAGTCCCTAAATACCCACAGTTTATGGTGAATTATAAAGTAGGGAAATAACTTTATAAAATTTACAAAGCAGAGTTACAGCAAGTTAAAGAACATAATTGTTTTCATTAAGTTCGGCAGAATAAATATTTTAAAACAACTTACTGTAGTTAAATCTATTTTTTTACTTATAATTTGCATGCATCCAAGTATGAAGTCTGATGAAGTTAAATTTAATTAATTAGATTATTAATAAGATGCCCGATTCTGATGGTGGGAATCTAAATATTGAATATCTGGTCAATTTTTGTGGGGAACAAAAAAGGTCTCCTCTTTTGGAAATATTCAAGCAGTTTCTTTCTTTGATTATAATATCATTAATAGCAATAAAAATTGATTCCACAAGTTAAGAAGTTGGTAAAGGTGTCAATAAACTAAATATCATTTCCCGCATATTCGGATTTTCAAGTTTTATTTAAATATTCCTATTTCGTTATTTTAAAAAATCAATTAAATTTAGAAGAAAAGATATTAATTTTACTAATTAGCAAAATCCTTACCGCCCACTATAAAATATGGAACTACCACTAGTGGGCGGTAGGGACCAGGTTGACTACTACTGCTCTAAATTATTAATCGTTGAGTTAAATTAATTTCAGAGTAGAATTTTTAAATCTTCTTTACTGCATATATATATATATATAGAAATTAATATAGAAATATATCAGGATTGTAAATAAATATAATAAATTTATAATACTTAAGAAATTTTAAAACATTTTATAATTAATAATTAATAAATCTTATTAATTGATTGAATAAATTTATTCATGAACTGAATACGTATACATTGGGATTACAATTAAAGTGACACTTAAAAAGTTATCCGTATAAAAAGAACCACTGGTCAAAATCAGTTCAAATTTGAACTTGAAGAAGGCGGAAACCATACAGCATCAAAAACAGTACCAAAGTGTAATAATAGATGGCGCTATAAGCAGCATAATGAAAGTGAATTCGGCTGCCAGTAATATTTTGACTTAAAATTACAATGCATTTGGCATGAGTTGCACATTAAACCAACTATAGTGTTCAATGTGCTTGATTGTTTCGGTTTTTTGACGAAAAAAAAGGAATTCCAACAGCTATGACATTGTTAGTGGAAAGCCCATCCACCACAACAAGGTCATAACAAACTGGATGGGAAAAATCGGTGGAAATTTTTTGGAACTTTGTTTTGAATAACCGCAATAATTAGAAATACCGTTTCTTGAAAGTGGAACTTTATTTATCTACAGGGTGTTTATAATTAATGTAGTAAAGTACTAAATAATTAAGTAATGTTATGTAGTAATGCACTGTAGTTTTTAATTTTACATCAATAGTTTAATATCAAAATAATTTTCTTCCTACATTTACATAATTATATTGCAGGTCATTTTTACATTAGTAAAATTTAGAATATTACATACATATTAATTGAAATATATACATATATTTTTTCCCAAACTTTATTATTTAGCATTACAACAATATATTGAAATCACTCTTTTAATAAAGCCTAACGACATAATTTGATTAAACACTCTTTTTTTACTAAAATTCTCATTCTATAGTTAATTTCATTTCATTCATTCTGGAGAATTTAATTTCATAATAAGTTCTTAAGAAAAATTCCTTTTACCACAAAAAATAAAACTCTTTTAAAAAAATCTATTCTATTCATTTTTATGAAATATTTGTGTTGATAAAGTAAGGTTTTATATATCCCTTAAGATTAATGAGAAAATTGTAGAGTCTTATTAAAAAAAAAAGTTCGTATGGTTCCAAAAGAATCCCCAACATCAGAAATATAAATTTTATTGTCTAGAGACATTGATATTCTTTTGTATTACAATCGAATAAGTGGTTTTTAAGAAAAGTTCAAGAAACCTTTTTGTTGTATATAATTTCTTATGGTTATACTTTTTTTGTGAAGCCATAGAAAAAAATGAACCATTTCTAACCAACTTGTATCGCAAAACCTCTAGAGTTTAGAGAAAGCGATATATTAATTTTTTCTTTTTTTACTTTGAAATTAATGCAATAATTTATTGACAATATACTTATAATAATTAATGTTGTTGTTCTAATGCAGAGATAGTTAATCTTTGTGTCATAAGCAAGGGTTGCGCCGCTGTCACTCATTTAGTACTACTCAGGGGGCACGTGTAGCTTGAAGATATGCTACGGACGAGAGTAACACTCCCTCCACAACGCTCTACGATCCTATTAGAGAGGGACCTACGGCTTAAAGTGGATTCCGAAGCACTAAAAACATTGATGTCATCACCGGGATTCGAACCCAGAACCTGTCTTACCGAGCTCCAGCCACTCTGAAAACAGGCCTCATATATAATAATTAGTGTACATTTGTTAATTTTAAACGATTACGAAATAAAATTACGAGAGCAATAATTAGAATAAAAAGGGGATCATAAATGATGATGACTAGTGCTCTGGCCTTTGATATCACAGACTTCACGTTCAAATCCAGGCGGTGGCATGGATGTTTGTTAGTGGTTCGAAATTCCCGCTAAACTGTAGGTCCATATGTGCACAAAATGACAGTAGAGCGACAAACAAAACCAAAAATCATACTCACAATGAAATGCTTCCAAGAGAGGGGAATGGTACATTGTTTATCTTGATTGGTACTGAAAAACTTATTTTGTCAAAACAGTTTATGAACAGCCTATATAAGTTTAATGCTGTAACGTCTCGGTCTATACTACATCTATAAGGCTTCTAGAAGAGTATATATATATAGCCAGAACTTTGGAGTAGACATTTTCTCATTCCATGATCTATCACCCATCACGATGCAGCAAATGGTGTCGTTCATATTACATCTGTAATTATTTGGCCCTATTAAGATCTCACAGGCAATCGCAAATTTCATGAGGTCTCATTATCCATGACACTGAATGACGGTTTGTCACAATGTTACAATACTCTACCTGTCTCTAACAGTGATTAATTAGAACTAATGTCGATAAGACAAAAATGAACTTTGAAAACATTTCTTTCAATTGTTAAAAACCCCGATTTTTTTTTCTTTCAAAATAGGTAAACTTTTCCTGAAACCTTTACTGAATTATCAAAATTTATAAAGATTTATTTTAATATATTCAAAACAAATTATTAAATTAACAAATGCAATCTTGTTTTTAAAGTACTGGACCAACTTTCTAGATAAGAGAACCCCAGCAGAATTATTATAAAGTCTCCTCAACTATTTATTGCAAATCTATATTTGGATACATTGAGATGTCTCGAAGTGATTTTAATATGCAAAATGCGCATCCAGTCGTAAAAGCATCTCTGACTGTAATAAGTATACGCCTCCGCGGTTTCTTTGAAGTCGTGCAAATTTATTGAGTGCATCTCGTGACGAGGGGCTTTTGCGGAATTCATTTCACGGGATCAGATGGCTCATGAATAGTTCAATGTCAACTGATGCAGAACAGCAGACCTTTGATTCGAATTGATTTACGCTTAAGCGGGAATGCCGAAGAAGTTTCCAAAGTACATCAACGATCTTCTAATATCGTTTTGATTGCCATAATTATATACACTACGTAAAAAAAGTAGAATGACACTTGATTTTGTAACAATAACCGAAAAATATTTTATTTTTACTAAAATTTTTTATTAGAAACATTTTACAAATATTTTAAAAATACAATTTTAACATCAGAATTATGATATTCAAACATAAAATATTAATGCCAACAAAAATAGTTTCTCTTTTTTGAAACTTTGTAAAAAAAGTAGAAGGACAGCATTATAATGAATGAAAAAATAGTGATTTTAATTAGGTATGCTCTTCCCATTGGCCTTTATAACTTCAAATATTCTGTTTGGAAGTGAATTTTAAAGAGATTGAACTTCTGTTTGACAAAAATTGTCCCACGAGTCATTCAATGCTTCCCGAAGCTGAGTTAGCTAATCGAATTGCCTTCCATCAGCATAAACTCGAGGAATTAGCATTGCCCAGATGTTTTCCACTATATTAAGGTCAGGACTTTTGGCTGGCCATGGTAAAACATCCACATTATTTGTTAGGAACCAATTTTTGACTCCAGTCGCGGTGTGAATGGAAGCTCCGTCTTGCAGAAACTTCCACTCTTCACCCCCCAAGTCGGAATTCAGCACTTGAATGTAGTCTGTATGTTTTTGCCTACCATTTAAGAAAACCAGACTTGTCCTTCCTCCGTATCCAACAGCCAACCAAACCATTAAACTCCCTCCTCCCATTTGTCGTGTTGAATAGTATTCGTCTTCATTCCCCAGACAATGCCAGTAGTGCTGATATCCGTCTGGACCGTCGAAGTTAAATTTCTTTTCATCGGAAAATATCACAGAAGTCCATTCTGTAGTCCAGGACATGTGCTCCTTAGCCCAAGCTAAACGGTTATCAATGTGAGCTTGTGTCCACTTAGGACGATGTTTCCGTTCTTGAAAATGAATTTTTTTAGATCTTTTAATATAGTTGTAAACTGTTTGTTTCGTCACATGATTAAGTCCTGCCTGATTTCTTGCCTTTGAAACACTTCCTTTGCTCTTCTTAAGCACACGAACAAGTTTTCTTTCATCACGTTGTGTTAACTTTTTCGGTCTACCAGTATTCTTTTTCTTTCCATTTTTATAAGGATTTCTAATAAAGTTTGAAACAGTATTGGGGCTCACCTGCAACAATCGAGCAATCTCTCTGACACCATTACCATCATTTTTGATATGCAGAAACTTGGCCTTTTTGAAAATTGTTCAAAGGTATTCCTTTAGGCATTTCTGAGAACGGAGAAACAGCGTAACTTTTAAACAAAT